AAAATTAGAATGGGAGTGAACACTACCGGTATTTGTAACCTTTCTTATACAGTGTGTAATCATTATTTCCTAGATTTCAGAAGTAACTGAGAAAACTAGACCTAATTAAAAGTATTGTATCAGGATTAGCAAAACTAAATTCTGTGTATATTTTCAGTAGTCAAGACAACTTTTCAGTTTGTCCTTCAGATTTAAACATCAAATGTAACATAAGTAGCCAAACAGAGAAAGTAGGGAGCTGCATCTGGCCATTAGCAGACTCAGATATCTATTAAGATCAAAATTATATTGCTACTAATTAGGGCAAGCATTGCCTATAGACCTCTGGTCACTAAAAAAACGATGAAAAAATATATTTCTAATTTTAAGTGGTCCAACTAAAAACACTTTTACTGCCAAAGGTATATTTTGTCTCTGGTGAAAAAAAAAGAAAAAAAAGTGCCTGCACCACCCATTAAAAAATTCAATTACATGCTGTTTTCTCATCATTAAGTGTGCACTGATATCTACGCTGTGTCAAAAAAAAATTCACTACATATAGATCTTTTCTGAAAACAACTCATCATACACCCACCCAAGCTTATTTACTCAGCCTAACTACCTACTTCCCTTCAATTAACCTAACAGTTGTTCTACACTCACAATAACAGAGCACCAAATTGATGTCCATGTTTCACACAAGGTATCCACAGATAGCCGTATTCTAAAACACCACGGTATATTAGCACCTTAGCTGTAACAGCACCTGCCTAGGGGAAGAATTGCCACATTGTTTGGCTTCAAAATTTACGCCATCGTCCATCTATTGCTGCCACTACAATATATATTTGCCTCACCTCCTCTGAAAGGTTTGACATTTCCTAGTCAATTACGAAACAGTCACGGCATCTTTTGAAGATATTGAACCTAAACAATGTGAAAAAGTTGAATAAATCTATCTTCATCAAGCGTAACAAGAAAATAAATGACACCAGGCGTGATAATGTTTAGAAAAGGCAACTTGATCAGGAAGTCTAATATTTTTTCTCATTGACTAGTATATTTACCATTCCTCTCCTTGTTATCGAGGTTTTCACAGCATGGTATAGCATTATGTAATATCAACAGTCTTATATTTACTTACATCATATCCAGTACAACTTCACTTATACCTGCCACTTCAATCCCAATCATTTTCATATGATTTCAGAATCTGTTTACATTTGCCCATACTAAAATACTTCTTATAATTTTACTCTCTCTTATAGAGTAGTAGTAGACCACAAACCAAACTTCTTTTTCTCATCTATTTACATCATACAAATGTATTCATTATATCACCTTAAAAAATATAAAGGAGAAATCTAACTTGCTCTTACAACTGGGAGAAGTGCCTTATCTTTCTGAGCTAGGCTACAATGTAAGACATGCTTTCAAATACATAACTTCAGACATACAGTATTAAATTATTTCTTCTATTTGATTGTTACCAAGTAGACCCTAGAAGACTTGGTAACAATCAAATATTCATTGTCATATTCATGCACTGGTCAAATAAGATACACATTACTGCATATATACGTCTACCTACAACTACATGTTTTAAATCATCAACCTGATTTGAACTTCCAGAGGGATATGAATGTAAAGCCATGGGGAAGGCCACCACATTCCTGGACACTGTCTATGTCCCTTACATCTTCATGGAATGGAAAAAGATGTTTGTTGACCAATTAAAACCAGATTCGCCATGTCCCACCAAAAGCCTGCAAAGACTGTGTCAGCTGTTGACCAGCAGGGGGTATGCCCCCTATGAAGTTCGGACACATATAAAGTTAAACCCGGAGCGCAGTACCAAAATTTGGAGGGTTGGAGACATATACTGGAGACACAAGTCTGCTAAAGTACTCTTCCCTCCTTGAACCATGCAACAGCGACTAAATTGTGGTCACAGCAAAGAAAGATGAAAAAGATGGCTTTCATGGAATCTTAGATGAATTGCCAGTAAATTGAGGTGAAAGTTTGCTCCATACTGTGGGCTGCATGAGGTAGACAAGACAGTTTTGGAGTGGTACAATTTATCTAGGCAACAGAGCTACATAGGATTTCTGCAAGCCTGAATAAACTAGCCTAGCTTTCATAACTGTTGGCATTACATGATGTGAAAAGCCAAACAATTATTAGAATGGCTGAGGTAGAGAAGTAGTGTCACAGAGCTTTGGCATCAAAATTAACTTGTTTCCAGAATATGCTTTAGACTGTACAAGGCATGAGTTGTGCATTTATATGTCATCATTTTTTTTACTTTAGTAATTTGTTGACATATATGTCAGTCTGTTAAGTAACTGACTGCAATATGAATTTCTATATCATCATATTAATTGAAATAATGTTTATAGCTAGATCTATATAACTTAATCAGATTAATATTTTATGACATACTTTTTCGTGCGACTGATAGAGCAAGACAATGTGCAAGATTTGTTAAATATTTGCATTTCAAGTTGAAGACCACATCAACTCACCAAGGAAGTATATATGGCTCCTTGGACTCACTAAAGATTGGCTATACAATAATAACAGAGTGGAAAAAATACTTTTTAGCCAAACACTTGCAAAAATGGTGATATATTATAAATATCCCAGATGCTTAGAAAATCTTTAAAATTTCCTCTACAATTATGTCACTCTATTGTATACTTAAATATTGGCAATGCTATTGTACTAAGTAAATACACACACACACACACACACACACACACACACACACACACAGGGAAAGTTAGAGAAAGAGAGAGATTGACAGTTTCATTTGTTTTCCATTGTTACCAAGGATGTAGATTGACAACATACATGTACCTGTGTTACAAGTAACATACATGCATATGGAACACATGAACCTGGCAGTAGCAATGCTGTATTTAGCTTTACTGGTACAGATTGGCACACATACTAAATATGCTTGAAAGCTTGTTAGACTGCTATATATATAATGTATGTATTACACTTAAGGACCACTTATATCTATTCACACAGAAAATCTTATTTAGTCCAAATGAATGCAACTCATTACTGAGCTGGCAAGTTCTCAAACCAACGACGGATCCCTTCCCAGTATCCACGGAACATTTCTCCATAATTTACTTTTCAAGCCAGGCTCTTGATTGAGAAATATATACATGCTAGCATCCCTGTATGTACAAATACAAAGATATATTCTTGAAAAAAGTGTATGTCTTTATATAAAAATCAAGTATTGGATGATTTCATCCTTAATAAATTGTTTTTCTTCTCAATATTTCTACAAGAAATGGTGTTCATTATACTGACAACTTATTTACAAAAGAGCAGAGGGAGGGAATGCAAGCACATCTGTTACAGTCTATTCTACATTTGGTTTGCTTATTTTTCTTATTCTAATTAATTTCAATCAGTAATTGAAATGAAATTGTTCTGAAACATGCAATAAATGCCATCCATTTGGTGAATAATAATAATTGTTCTAAACTTCAAATTTTGATTTTTCAAATATATCTACTTTTATAATAAAAAATTCAATACTTAGTAACTGCTTATACTTCTTTGTCCAGTCCGTTTAAAATTTGACTCAATAGATTTTGGTAAAAAAATTGTACCTTACTCTGTATATGAGTCTAAAAATTTCACTGCCAGAATTCATCATTCCATTATTCCTTGATTGAAAGCATTCCTCATAAAAGTTTCAGTTTTTATCAAAGTGATCAACTTTGATAAAGCTCATATGCCCAATCAATGTTTACTTTTGGTTAAAATCTGCTTCGATCAAGGGATGAGAATACCAGACTTATTTAATGTGTGAATGTGCCTTAAAGAGTGTGAATGTTATGTGATAGACTAATGGGAAATCAATAACATTACATTTAAGAATTGATTATATTCAGTAGAATCTGTTCCCATGCCAAATGTTCCAAAATGAAAATACAGGGCGGTTTAGTTAATTTTGGAGTAATATTCAAACAAGCATGAGCAGCACATTCTCTCTGACTTTGTACCTGGTCATCAAAATAACATATTTATCGTTCTCAGAGAGTTTCTGAAGTGAAGTATTTTTTATTATATTTGAAAATTGAATTATACAGATGAGCGCTAACAACTAATCAATATTCCACATAACATCTTCATGTAAGACATCAAAAAGGAATTTTTTTGTATTTTGAAAAATCTGTTTCATCAATTTCAGGGTTAAATACCACCTCTCTTTTTTTTCTTATTTTTATCAATTCTTAAATCTAAATGTCACACTCTGACTGAAACACATGGAAACTGATGTGAAAATAAAGTTCCCACACTTCACTGAAATCGTAGCTTTCAAGTACTTCTTGTACATGTTACTGTAATGTAAAGAAGAATGTGAAAATTTAATAAGACTCATTAAAGGCTATGATTTCACATTTCAAATGTCAGGTGTTGCCCCTAGCAATCAGAGGAGATCTGCACATTCACTTTTCAGCCAAGTTCTTCAAAAACATCGTTGGAACAAATTCAGAATTTTGACTTCGTTAATGATGTGCTTAACCCTGGGTGCTTATGAGTCAGACTGTCTAGCTGAGATGAAGAAGCTACATGGACACTTTTTCATACTTGTGATAATTATGTACATGGGTTATGCACATCAAACAAGAAAAATCTTCACATCATACAAATTTGGATATGGATGAATTGAGTTAACCATCCTGATCTGTTTTTTTTCGCTCCCTCTCATCGTGCCCGCAACCAATATCATGAAGTTATTGTTTCTTCATTGTAAAGCTGATCTATACTGGCTTATATTATATTATTTGTGGCTGGCCTATGCTGTATTATATCATGTTATTGATATACACTCAAAATTATATGAAATGCAGATGATCTCTAAAAAATTATCACACAGAAACAAAAAAGAATTTAAAAAAAACATAAAAGTACATGGCTCGTAGCTTTTAGAATTCTAATTTACATTATCAATACTGATCTTGTTCCTAGTGAAGATAAGTTTTTTTTTCTATTTTAATCTCATCTATAATTGCCATTCTTAAGTACAAATGCATGTTATTGAAAACAGAAATAAATTCACCTTTGTGCAGCAGCCAAGTTTCCACTGCCTTTCGACTTAGAAGTAGCGCCAACCTAGCAAGGGTTACATCCTTTAAAATAAACACCATCTGTCGGCTTGATCTGTTTGCTTGAATTGCTGATATAGTATTTATCTTTTTCTTTTCATCCCCTGCTGTTGTATTCAGCCTAATGCACATCACCACTGGCAAGAAAAGGTTGATTTAGCCTTGTGTTAAAGATGCTAAATGTCAGTATATATAAAATCAAGATATAAGAGTATCTGGGATCCTGGGTCTTTAATCATTTTTTTATTATTATTATTTTTTTTTTTTAGTTTTTTAGTTTTTCTTTTTAGTAAAATTGGTAAAAACACTATGTTTGAACTGAATAACTAGACGGTCTGAAACCTGACCTCAGGAAAAATACTGCAGCAGTGTCCTATTTGATCAATGAAAATTAATTGTCTTCACACTGCATAAACAGTTTTAAGTACCAAATTACCAGTTTATTAGTACTTACAATATTCCCATAGTTTACATATATGAAGCTCCAGAAAAATATGCCTAAACCAAAAAATATATGATTTAAAATATTATGTAACACTTAAATGAAACACAGCTGTGGATAAATCTTCATTCATTTGAAATATGGCACAGCATTTTATTTAGCAGTAATAACATTATAACATTATAACTGGCCATGTTATTGCAGTCTAACCAACCCTCCTCACTCCAGGCAAGAAACAGAAGACATAATATATGTCAGGCAAATAACATGAAGCAGATTCCTATCCTCAAGCAGATTCATCTGACACCTGGTTTTTAGTGATAAAACCCTATTTTCTACTTGAACAAGTGGAAAGCTGTGTAGTTATTCATTTTTAGAGCAAGAGTAATTTATATCGGTTTGGGCTACATAAATGTAGCTGCTACCTTTTAAAAGGAACAAGAGTAGATTAAGTTGTGTTAATTGTCTCCTGGATATCCAACACATTTACCATCTGAGGCACACCAAGCACAATCAACAGCAAACCACCTACATTTGTAAAATGAACCTGATAATAAAAGATTTTTCCAAATGCTAAAACTTAAATTACTAATTGCAATGCCCTTTTAACAATTTACAGCAGTTTCATCTTAATGCTTAGTTGCATTAAAAATTAGGCTATTGGCTTATTCAAAACAAAAAATCCCACAATTGGTTTCATTTCAAGATCTTAAATGTTTGTCTTTTAAAACTTTACGACCATACATTTCCATAAACATTCATCAATACTAAATGAGGATATATTGGGGGTTTTCTTACTTAAAATCAGAAACCAAAAATGTTTTCGGCCAATAGATACTATACCCTAAAACTTAAACTTCCACAGTTTCAATAAGGATTGAAAAACACCAAATTTTCTGGTCTAAGATCTTGGAGTTTTTTTGTGAAATTGGACTTCAATGGAACAAGATACAAACTCTCCTTATATTACCTTGTACTTCCCCAGTTCTAAACACATACACTTGGTCAGCATGTCCACTGCTGCCTTAATGGAGCAGTAGACACTGTGGTCAAGCAAGGCACAATGTGAGGCCACACTGGACACATTCACTATGGACCCTCCTGTACCCTTGTCTATCATACTCTTGGCAACCACCTGTTGAAGAGACTCATGCTCTACAAACCATGTCAATAAATGTATGTTTAAATAAATTTAATTCAATGTCTTTTTCTTTTATTAAAAATAATGCACTGTTGCATTCAATTATAATCAACAGAAATAAACTTTACGTATACATATTGCCAGCATTTACCTGAGAAATGTTAAACATTGCCTTCAAGTTAACGTCTAAATGCCTGAAAAACATCAACAAAACATTCTGTTGAGTCCCTGCTCCAAAATCTTTTTAATAAGATCTCTGATCAATTTCTTGAAAATGAAACTGAAAATTCAAACTGCTTCCTGATTATTGTAGTTATGAAATTCTGAAATTTTCATCAAAATCTGTCTATAATTTTAGTTTCCCGTAACCATGTTGCTAACAGTCAAACACACAAAGGGAAATACAGACAAATGGAACCAAAAAAACAACCTTGTTGGCCAGAGTAACAATTATGTTAACGTTAGATAGCTGATAAGACATACAAATAAAGACTTAGGATGAAAAAAAAAAAAAGGGAAATTTTAAACCAATAAGGTCTTACATGCTAAGGTTTTCCTCTGTAACCTCTAAGAATGGCAGAACAAAACTGACGGCTGCATTATTGATAAGGAGATCAAAGTGTCCTGCCTCCTGGACTGCTTTCCTGGTGGCCTTCCAGTCAGATATGTCAACACATACTGTGCGTACTCCTGGTACCTGAAACATAGGAGATACCAAGAATGAATGAACCCATTTCCATGAAACAGAGTCCCTGTTGATATCCAGGTAATCTGAATGTGCTGTTGACAATAATGCAATACATCACTTGGTATTCAGATGCCTGCACAAAAATTGATCAGATGTAAGAGTTACTATGAACTCATCATACCAAGTATTTTATTTGAAATAATGATTAAAGCAATAAAAAAGGAGCATCATACTTGAAATATGGCAGCATATGATACATGTACCAGTATATGACAATAAGACCTTCCATGTTAGTGATGTTTATCTTGTTTGGCCACAACTGTACGAGGGTTGATTGATAAGAGGTGAGCCTCATATAGAAGGGGTACACATTTTACAAGTATTTTTCTTTATTTTTCAACAAAGTCTCCTTGAGCATCTATACACTTTTGCCAGCGAGTTTTGAGAGCCTCTATGCCACTTTTATAGAAGCCCTTCTCTTGGCCGTTCAGAAACCCCTCCACTTCACGTATGACGTCATCATCTGACACAAAGTGAGCACCTGAAATGGCCTTTTTCAATTTGGGAAATAGATAATAGTCAGAGGGAGCAAGATCAGGCGAATAAGGTGGATGTTCTATCAGTTCAAAGCCACACTCATTGAATGAAGCCATGGCAATGACAGACTTGTGAGCAGGGGCATTGTCCTGGAGGAACAGTACACCTTTCCTGAGCTTTCCGCTGCCTCGTCAACATAAAGTAACCAAATGACACCAAACTTCGGCTACACACCTTTAAATAGTCAGGGAATAGAAGGGCTGAAAAGGGATATCTCTGCTAAACCCCTTCCACACAAGGCTCACTACTTATCAATCAACCCTCGTACATCTCGTACATCTGACCTCCTCTCTCTAGCGTCTAAGCAAGGGTGGCTGATAATGAAGTAATTACCTCTTCTTTAAGGGAATCCAAATCAGCCTGTGTCTTGCTCAAAGCGCAGACTTCGGCACCACATTTAGCAAGGACTTTCACTAAATCTCTTCCAAGACCTGCAGAAACCAAAACAAAATGGCCATGCAAATTAATTAACACACATATAATGGAGACAAGAGCTGTGAAATCAAAATGTATGAAAGACATTGATGTAAAGGATAATGCCCAGAGATAGAATAAATGTTGATATGGAATCTGGTATCTAAAAAGTTCTTATTACAGATGCTATTACAGCTGTCCTTTTGCGGTACTGTGACCAGAACTGTCATGCAGCTCTTGTAAATGTTTCACTTCAAACAGAATCATCAAGCCAAGGAGAAGCCAAGGCACCCAACGCTTGTGTCCACTAGTCACCAGTGACACTACTCCACCCCCATATCCGTATTTATAGCTTTATCTAAGTTTTGCTAACTTTTGAAGTTGATAGGCAATGCAATGATGCATTTGCCTCGTTTTACCCTCATCCTACAAACCTTTCCCAGCCCCTGTGACGAGCGCCTTCTTCCCATTAAACTGTACTGAAGTATCCATCCTCGTATGAGGTGTGTAAACAAACTAAAGTAGGGCTTGCATTCTAACGAGCGAACTTTACGAAGCCCCTTGTTGTGAGAGATGGCCCGTCGCTACAAACTAACAAGGAGCCCACTAACAGATACGTTGCCTAAAATAAATTAGAAGAAGTAGAAATCTTTGTATATCGAAAGTGAAAATTTGTATAAGTATCTTTTGAGAGCTTAATCTTGCCGGGCGAGTACCATGTTAGGCCTTCTGAGCCATACAATGAGATCCTAAAACGCCTGCATGTTTTAGGGATTTAACCCTCTACATCAGCTGGAAACATACACAGTGATTTTATTGGTCAATTTATCGTTTAATTTAACCAATCAAACTAGCAGGTTACAATCTCTTCTCCGTAACAACATGGAGTCTTAAAAATACAAACTACGTTCGATCTGTAAAAGTTTGAAGAGAAAAAGACCTATTGCTTTATTTGTTTTCAACTAGTGCACCCCGAAAGAACTGAAGGTAGGACATGTCAGCATTCCTGTCTCATAGTGACCATTTTGGTTTATACGTACTTGACAAGTCAGTGTAAAGTATTTAGATTGTTTGCGTTTGGATTCTCGATTTATCATCTTAGGAATGTTTTCCCCCAATGATGCTGGTTGCTTGAAGTACACAGAAAGCCACATATCTATCTTGAATATTTACACTATTCTTGTTTAAACTTGGGTAATTACGTAATATTGCCCATGGTTTAGGGAAAAATATTTTCATGTTTAAGTGATGTTTGCCAATTTTTCAAGACAGCCTTTTCAAAAAATGAGACAAAAGTTGATCCAACTTAATTTTGAGACTCTTAATATTGTCACAGGCACAAAAAAAATGTTATACAGTCAATATGGGAGGTGGGCATGAATGCATAGTCAAATTTTTTGGTTCACAGATTTTCCCAAGCAGAGAAATCAACTTGTACAATATATGAAATATGGTCATACTGTTATACAATGTATTGCTAGGTAGTTGATATTGTTGACCTAACATTACAAACTGTTACGATTTGTTTATATTTGTTTTTTTTTTTTTTTTTTTTAAACAACGTTTATTCAAAAGAATGAAGTGGAGGCAAGGCGCTGGAAGCATTATATGCTCTCCACAAAATTAAATTAAATAAGTAAATAAATAAAACAAATGGATAGGTATATACATATATACAACAGAGTAAATGTAAAACTTCATATATATCAGGAGCACAAGTTAAGTACAGAAAGAAAGAAGAGGAAAAGAGATAGTACCTATTAAGTGATATCA